TCGTGCGGGCTGCGCCGGCAGATCGGCAGTGCAGAAGTCCTCGATGGTTCCGTTCGGCTCCGTAGACGGCTACGATACCGCCTGTATGGATGGGATTTTCGTTAAATACTGCAAAATCTGCATATCTACAGACAACGCCGGGATAACGGCGGCTTTGACGGGAAGGGGAAAACGTCCGACCTGCGACGCATCTATCTCGGCCGATTTTGCCCTCGAGTTTGATCCTCTGCAGCTCCTCCTCCAAGATCACCTCGTCAGCTTCACCGATGTATTTCGCCAGCGGCGGTTGGGGCAGCAGGTTGTGCTTAAAAAAACAAACAAAAAATCAATAGTGAAACATACATCAAAACGGGAGGACATAAGACTTCAAGGTGGAGGACAGAGGGAACATGCAGTGGTGCAGTGGCTGTTGCGGGAGGGTGTAGTTGGTGGGGTCATACTGACCCGGCATCACATCCACCGGAACAGACGCCTGTGTTAGCGCACACAAACTGATATTGTACACTGACCGCCAGCAGAGGGCGATCACGGACACTACTACGTACTGTTCTCAATGCGAAAAAAAAAACAGCTTAAAATTTCGTAGCCTCATGAACTTTAACTTCATTTTAAAACCATTTCTACGATTATCCATCCATCCATTTTCAGCCGCTTATCCGTTACCGGGTCGCGGGGTAGCAGTCACCACCCAAATCACACTGCACCGTACCAACCCCCTGAACCCTCCTGCGGGTGGTGAGTCCACTGGAAGGTACCAACCGCCCTGACCGGGATTCGATCTTGCCCAGGAGGTGAACCCTGGGGTTCCACACCAATGACAGACACATTGCCTCTGGGCCAAAGCGCCACCATTTCTACGATTATTTGTATTATTATTATTAAAGCTAATATTAGGAATATTAGCATTAATTAGCAATAATTAGAAATATTAGGTAGATCGGGCGTCGACTCACGACCAGCTGAAGCAGCAGCTCGTCCAGCTGACGAACGGCCTCCACGCCGCCCGCCTGAGTCTTTTTGGTCTGATACTTGGCCTGAAAGAAGATCGTGATCATTTCCCAGAATTCATTGCTGCTGTTGCCGCCATATATAAATAAATGTTAATAATTGAAAACTTGCCTTGGTGGATGCGTCCTTGTTCTGGGCGCTTTGGCTCAGGAGACAGCCGGCTAGCAGAACCCTGGCGATATTTGCTGTAGTGCTCTGTTCCCGCCGCTCGCCCAGCTGC